CTGCACTGAACCCAGACCCCCTCGAGTAATGAAAAAATCATGACGGAAGGTGTTCCTTCATTTTCTGCCTCCGGGGGCCCTCACCAGGCCTCGGGAGCGTCAAAAAACAAGGCAAAATGAGAAACCGGTCATGGGGAAAGGGTCGGCACCTTTGGGGGTCGACGTAACGAAAAAATCATTACGTCGGGGGTCTGGGAAGGGGTCCTAGCGGAAGTTGAAAGATCAGGCGAAAGTTTCCCGCCGATTCGGGTAGCAGGCTGGGTTCCCCAGGCTCCCGGCTCCAGGTTCCCGGGTTCCCGGTTAGTGGTTCCGGGCCGATTTCGGTGGGTTCTGGGTTCCTGGGCTCCTGGTCGATTTCCTTATCGATCTCTTTATCGATCCCACGATGCATTATCGATCGCATGATCGATCTCCCCATTTGTCTCAATCAACGGATCTCACCATCGATCTGATCAAATCATCCACTGAATGGTTTTTTCTCTGGTGTAAATTTCTTTCCCACCCGGCGTTTTCGCTCAGTTTCGGGCTCCGAGACCCTCGCAGACTGATCCAGCTCAAGACAAGTCCTGTAGGAAGATGGGGTCCAGGGCTCCGGTCCCGATGTGTTGCGATGTTGCATTTTTCTTGCAGCGTCGGATCTCAGGGAATCACGGCTGGACGATTTTGACAGCTTTCGACCGTGGGGCCGTCACAACACATCTCGGGATGGCGAAGAGGCGCCGGGGAAAGGGTCGGGACTTCCGTGGACCCCGTCTGACAAGAAATGCGCACGCCTGGAGAGCAGTGACCTCGCGATCCCCAGGCAGCCCTCCCGGCGCATGTGGTCCGCCACTGCACGGGTTCCCCAGACCCCCGACGTCATGATCTGTTCATAACGTCGACCCCAAAAGCTTTCGACCCGTTCCCCGGGACCAGTTTCTCATCCTCGAGTCGTTCTTTGACGGTCTCGAGGTCTGGCAAGGGGCCCGCGGAGGCCGAAAATTTGGAAAAAACGCCCGCCATGATTTTTGTCATCACGCGAGGGGGTCTGGATCAGGATTTTTTCATCACGCGAGGGGGTCTGGATCAGGGACCTCGGAGGCATCATTCGCATCCACAGCCCACGGCCCCAAAAAACCGGGCGGTCCCACCGAGACCACACAGGCTCGCAACGCGCGCGGTGCATATATGGCCGCCGCGCCGGGCCTCGCGCACCACCGGCGGGCTGCTGGAGCAGTCGCCGGCCACGACGGGCAGAAGAGCAGAGAGTGGCGCGGACATGAGCTTCGGGGCTTCTGAGAAGCCCCGCCTCCTTCGGAAAAAGGCCTCTTCCAGGAACAGGTCTTTTCGAAGCGCGAGGCTTGCCAGGAAAAGGCCTTTTGCGAACCCTTTCCAGGAAAAGGCCCTTTCCAGGAAAAGGCGTCTTCCAGGAAAAGGCCTTTTCGAAGCGCGAGGCTTGCCAGGAACAGGCCTTCTCGAAGGCCTCTTCCAGGAAAAAGGCCCTTTCCAGGAGAAGAGGCCTCTTCCTGGAAAAGGCCTCTTCCAGAAAAAAAACGCCTCCTTCGGAAGGAAACGCTTTCCTTCTCATCTCCCCCCCCACCCGAGCGCTTGAGGAAAGAGAACTATGCAAATACACCGACTCTGGCCAGGCCCAACCCCGAGCCCAGAATCGGTGCATACGCCCTCTTACCTTGGCCAGGAATGCACATGGACCGATCCTGGGTCGAGGATGGGCGTTGTCAGGATCGGTGCATGCGCACAGTTCTCCTCGCCCGAAGCGCGCCGCCGAGCCAAAATCCTCGGGCCCTAACTGGCTCGGGCCTCCTGCGCGGCCGCTCTCGGAATGCACCCTCGGCGAGGCGCCGCCACTGGGCGACGCGCCCCGAGGGCCAGAAGACCGGCAAGAGGCGATACGGAGCCGCCCGGCGATCTCGAGATCTCCCCCCAGACCCCCTCGAGTACTGACAAAAATCATGACGGGAGGCTTTTCCTAATTTTCTGCCTCCAGGGGCCCTCACCGGGCCTCGGGAGCGTCAAAAAACGACTCGGGATGCAAAGCCGGTCCTGGGGAAAGGGTCGGGACCCCTGGGGTCGACGCAAGGAAAAAATCATTACGTCGGGGGTCTGGGCCACCCTCCCGCTCGCCACCGAATCGGGCTCGAGAGGTGCGCGTGGATTCCCGGACCTCCAGCGCACTGAGCAAACATTTGGCGGACCCTCTTCTCCAGTCCCCTTATAACCGTCAGCACAGAAACTGCTCGGGACGAGGAACTCGCCCCGGGGACAGGGTCGGGACATGGCTAGAAGACATCGGACGCCCGGAGGTCCTCGCTGGCCATCCACTTGCCCGACCGTCCTCACTGAGAAAAACGCACACGTCCAAGGGTGGCCAAGGAGGGGGATGATGATGAGGATGAGGCGGAGGAGTAGAAGGAGGAGGAGGAGGAGGAGGAGGAGGAGGAGGAGGACAAGGAGGAGAAGTACAGGGGAGGAGGAGGAGGAGGAGGAGGAGGAGGAGGAGGAGGAGGAGGAGGAGGAGGAGGAGGAGGAGGAGGAGGAGGAGGAGGAGGGGGAGGGGGAGGGGAAGGAGGAGGAGGGACTAAGGGGACAAGGGAGAAAAACAGGGGCAGCAGCAGGAACATAATCAGGATGGGGATGCTGGGGGAGGCTCTGGAAGCTCGTGCCTGTGCCACCTTCTGCTCTCCAAGATGGTGCACCACGCCTCGCCGCGGGCGCGGCACGTGATGCCGAAACATACGTGGCCTCTCGCGGGCCAGACCCCGGCGCGCCGCGCCCCCGTGGACTACATACACACGTGGCGCCTCCCCCGCAGCTGCCCCGCCGCCCCCTGCCCAGACCCCATCGGGTCATGAAAAAATCACGACGGGAGGTCTTTCGCTATGTTCGGCACCCAGGGGCCTCTTCCAGGCCTCGAGACCGTCAGAGAAACGACTCGGTGCGAGAAACCAGCCCTGGGGAAGGGGTCGGCGCTGCGACATCATCATGACGTCGGGGGTCTGGGCCAAGCGGCGGAATGTACCTATGCAGCCGCCGCGCATCCACGGGATCGCACCCCGGAGTCCAGGCCGCGAGGGCGTGGGCATGGACATGCTACAGTGAGGTCGGGCATGTCCCTTTGCAGGCGGATTCCCCCCCCCCCAGAAAAACATGTGCAAGAAATTCCTCAGAGTGATCAGACATGGTTAAAACATCGTCCCCAGACTATTTTTTACTATTTTTGAATCCTCCTCCTGTAGAGGGACAGGCCCGACTTAGGAGGAGGGGGAGGAGGGGGAGGAGGAGGAGGAGGAGGAGGAGGAGGAGGAGGAGAGGAGGAGGAGGGGAGGAGGGGGAGGGGGAGGGGGGGGGGGAGGAGGGGGCGGGGGAGGAGGAGGAGGAGGAGGAGGAGGAGGAGGAGGAGAGGGAGGAGGAGAGGAGGAGGAGGGAGGGGGAGGAGGAGGAGGAGGGAGGAGGAGGAGGAGGAGGAGGAGGAGGAGGAGGAGTCAGAGTGCGGGCGCGCGATGGCAGGGGCCCCCTGTGCCGACGCTCCGCGAGCGGGGGGCGCGGCCGGCGGCGAGCGGCCAAGGAGGGGCTCGAGGAAGGATGCCAAGGGCGACCTTGGAACACTGCTCCTCCTTGCTATAGGAATTGATGGAAGGAAACGATTAGAAACAACTTTTTGGGGCGGACGATTAAAACAATTGTTTCGCGGGCCTCCTCGCCCCCGCAATAGCGGGGGGGCAGGGCAGGCAGACGGGGGGCTGACAATTCCGGGTTGCCTGGAAGGCCAGGGGGGGGGGGCACGCCCTGCCATGCCTGAAATCCAACGTCGCAAAAAAAACAACACCACCAAAAAACACTGCTATGGGGATTGACTCTGCCCTGAGATCCGACGTCGCACAGAGAAGGCAGCACCGCGACAAAAACACGACTGGAGCCCCAGACCCCAGACCCCCGACGTCATGATTTTGTCCTTACGTCGACCCCCAGAGGTCTCGACCCATTCCCCAGGACCGGTTTCTCATTCTGCCTCGTTTTTTGACGGTCCCGAGGCCCGGTCAGGGCCCCCGGAGGCCGAAAATAACGAAACACCCTCCGTACTGATTTTTGTCATGACCCGAGGGGGTCTGGGACCCTATCTCTCTCTGGGCCACTCGTCGAGCCGCATCGACCCGCGACGATGGCCAGTGGCCCCTGGGGCCCGGGGCCTGGGCCACACCGAGCGCTCGCTGCCGACCCAGACCCCCGGCGTTGTGACTTTGTCACGACGTCGACCCCAAAAGTCCAGACCATTTCCTCTTGGTTGACCCAAAAAGGGGGTCCAGCTGAAAGGGGGTAGTGCAGTAAGTTTGGGGGCATCTGTGGGGGCATTGTGTGGCAACTTTTCTTACACGCGGAAACCCAGCAATACACTTGCGCCCCGGAATGTATCGCGCGCCCCACATGTGTTGCAACCCCACAAATATATTGCACCAAATCTAATGCACCACCCCCTTGTCGCTGGACCCCCTTTGGGTCAACCCGACTTCCCCAGGGAACGGGTTTGGGTCAAACCGGTCCTGGGGAAGGGGTCCAAACCGCGGGGAATTGTGAACACAGTCGCGACGCCAGAGGAGCCTGGGAGAGTCGCTGTCGGACGGACCCGCGGCCCAGTGCGAGGGCCCCCGGGAGGCCGAAAACGGGGCAGCGCCTCCCCTGAGATCCCACGGCTCGAAACAAGTGACATTGCATACCATCGGGAGCGGCCAAGAGGGGGGTGTCCAAGACGGGGGGGTGCCAATCATGACCGGCGGCATGTGCGCGGCCCAGCGGGGGGGCCAGGGACGTAATGAAATAAGAAGAGGCGCCATGAGATCTTGGGAAATATCATGGCCCCCGCCATGATATCCCCCCCCTCAGTCATCACCCCCCTCTTTGCCGCCCCCGACACCAGAGGCCCAGAACCAGCAACCGGGAACCTGGGAACCAGGAGCGGGCAGGCTACGCATGTATGCCCTAGAAGACAAGAGCGCGTAACCAAG